ACCGACATTTGTAATGATTGTTTTCACTTGTAAGGGTATTTTTCTTGTTTATTAATATATAGTACAAATTCTAATAACTCGTTTGACAAGTTTTATTTTTATAGACAATGTTGATGAGATTTTTTGTTTGTGGATTCAAAAACTATTAGGGAATAAGTCTTCTACGCAATCACTAAACGCGTGAAAGCTGAAAAAACACAAAGGTGGGGCGTGTGCTGGAGAGAAGAGTGAAAATACCACATGAAGTAGTATCAAAAGAAAGGAAAAAAGTCGGTAAACAAAAAAAGAAAATTAAAAATGATGCGGGACTCAGAGAGATTTTGATCCACGGTTTATCTGAACGTATGTGACTAAAAACTTAGGGTTGAGGTACAGAGGAAAATAGAGTGTTCCGTGAGGAAAAATAGACAAGTATTACCGGAGAAATTGTCAAAGATGACATGTGAAGTGATTGTTAAAAACTGGAATGAGACAGCTTCAGAGAGGAGAAGAAGAGTATCCAAATAAGTAAAATGGATATGAAAACTTAAGCAAAAAGTAAGTGCTCTGGGATCAGATTCTTTTTTCATGTATATGAAAAAACCATAATCAAAATTGTCTTCTGATTCTTTATCTTTTTAAGCATCCTATCAAGCATTCTATTTTGCTTATGTAGTATCTCTAGAAGCATCTGCTATTCGTAAAGCGACTCAAATATCATGAAGAAATCTCCATCAAATTAATGGATCACCATATGCCTTAAACTTGTTAAGCTCTTCCAACGTTTTTGTGTACTTATTAGTAGCCAGCTCCAAGGATTTTTTTCCTTGGTAATTTCATCTCAAATTGCTTAACCGATCATGGCTTATTTCACACAAACGATCAACAACATTGTAGAAAACTAAGGACTTGTTGCTACTATCGAAATGAGCATTTATGAAAGGGAAATTGGGCCAAATAGCCAAGAAAAAAAAATATTTCAAAATCTACCAAAACTCTCTTATATAGCTAAATCCTACCCATTAGATTTTGGACTTTTAGTTATTTTTTTAAATATAATTTTTTTGATGATTATTTGGCAAATTAACCCAAACAAATAATAATCAAACACGAAAAAAACTCAAGTTATTACCTTCTTCGAAGGTTTTGTGGCCATAATCACAATATGAACTATTTCAATTAGAGAGACAAACAAAGTTACACGTTAGCCAAAAACAAGATAAAAACAAAATTCGTTATGGTTAAATATGGCAATCGAGAACGAATACACATAATAAGAAGAAGAAATATACTCGATGTAAAAAGGTTACACAAGCGTACAAATAAATTTTGCAGACATTACACATTCACAAATAGATATCGATCAAACACAATACAATATTAAAAAAATCGATAAGGTACTAGAGATAGAAAAATTACACGTTAGATTTAAATATATGAAGTTTAAAAATATGTTTTAACAAAAAAAAGTTTTTTTGCAAGAACACTTACGAGATGTGTGCGCTAGTCTCTTAAGTTTACAACAAGAATAATTATTTATGAAGGTTGTAAGAGTTACAAGTATTTATCACAAATTACAACAAACCTTTAAAATTAAAACAAAAATAAATGAAAGAAGAAGCTCGAACTCAACTCCATATTGTACAATACTGCATCACAAAACTAGATTTTGCTTTCTTTTCTTTTCCATTGAAATTTTGACATTAAACCAAACAAGTCGTTTGAAATCCAGGCACTAGTTAATACCAACTCACCAAGCATGACTTTAACGTCTTCGATGACTGCTGGCTCCACCAGCTGATGAAGAGAAACTTCCATCAGACACGAAAGGCTCCGAATGCGATATGACA